GTTTGATTATGAATAATATTAGGAATAGTCCTAACAGGAGGAATTGGAGGAGGAGTTTATTACTTTGTTAAGCAAAACACTGAAAGTAAACCACAAAGTTTTGAAGAAAGAATTCAACAATTCCAAACCCAATTAAGTCAAATTGAAACTTTTCTTAATAAACCTGAAAATTCTAGTAAAAAACTTACTTATTCAACAACGTTAACTACTTTAAAAACTCAGTTAACTAATTTTCCCTCTTTACCTAATGAAGATAAAGAAAAGGCTGTTAAAGATTTATAAAAAGAAATTAAGAAACTTGAACAAGATATTAAACTACCAGATAATCCCCCACCTCCCGAAGAAACCCTTGACCAATTAAGAACCAGAGCTATTAATCAAATAAATGATGCTATTAATTTAACTAGTAGCTTAGGTTGAGCAGCAGTAAAAAAAACAGATTTATTTAATGATTGAGTTAAAGAAATCAACAATCCTGCTTTTACTAGTAAAGAGGATATTAATCTCCTTTTACAAAGGGGAATAGAAAATATTAACAAGTTAAGAGTTACTGCTCCGACAGAGAGACAAAAACTAAAAGATTACTTTGTATTTTGTCCTAATCAAGAATTAGATTTGACTTGAATAGATAATAAAATAAATCTTCGAGGAATGAAAGAAGATTTAGTTACTGATTTAAACCACGCCATCAAGAGTAATAGTCCACAACCTTCTTGACAAAGAAAATATATGGCTTTTACGAAAGATTTTAATATTAAAACTCAAGCTGATGGTCGTAATTTTGATAACTGAGTTAACAGTAAACTTAACCTTTGAATAGCGATTAAGAAAAATCATAATTCTTCCCAATATGACGTTGAAAGAAATGTTTATTACTTACGAAAAGGAGAACTTGATTATCACCAATTTAGTACTCGAAAAGATTTAGTTACTTTTTTAGAAAGCAGTGATGATTATGTTAAATCTTTAGGGAAGTAACTTTTTAAAACTAACCTATTAAAGTACTAGCAGTTTCCACAAAGTTATCATCTTTAATTTTTTCATTAATCCTGAATTCTATTGAGGAATTGCATATCTAAAACTTTTTGTTCTAGAAGTCTTCTAAATTCATATTGATCAACAAAAGTATTTCCGGCTACTCCATAAAAGGCTTTCATGGCTAACTTTCAACCATTATTTTGTCAATTAACACTATATTTATCCCCATTAACTAAATTAAATTTCATGTAAGGATTGTTGCTTAATCAACTTCTTAAAGTGCCTCCGGAAGATTGAGTAGGATTTTGAGTTCCGGCTTGGGATTCACTGGAAGCTCAGTAATAATCAAGCACATAATCTCATAATTGGTTACGATAAGCTCTCATCTGATCTGCTGAATTCTTGTTTTCTCGCAATATTCTAGTTTGTTCGGCAGCTAAACGATTTAATTCCTGAGCCATTTTGGTTTGTAATTCTCGTTCTTTGATAAGTCTTTCTAACTCTATTTTTTGGCTTTCTTGCTGTTTTAAGAGTTCATTTTCTTTTTTCTTTAATTCTTCCTCATTCTTTCTTTTTTTATCGGCTGCTGCTTGTAAAATACGAGCTTTTTCCTCATTAGCCTGTTTTTCTATTCTTTGTCGTTGTTCTTTATCTTCTAGTGCTATTGCCGCAAGTTTTTTCTGTTTTTCTTCTTCAATAAGTTTAGCCTGATTAGCAAGTCTTTCTTGCTCTAACTCATTTTCTTTTTGTAATTTCTCAAT